CGGGAGGAGTTTGCATCCCAGGGAGAGGGTGCAGAGGTGTGTGGCGGCTGGAAGCCCCTGCCCTTCAGCTCCATCCATCCTTCCATCCCCGCGGTTTGCCTCTAAAGCTGCGTTTCCACCGCGGCAGCTCCAGGTCCAGCCCTGCTGTGACGGGGGAAGAGACGACTCGGTGTTGAGCCATGTCCCCACCGGCGGTGCTGAGCCCTGGCTGGACCTAATGACCCTTCTCAGGCAGCTCCTTCGTCCAGAGCTTGTGTCATCCTCAGTCACCCCATGGACTTGCAGTACCTGAGTCCGACCCCACTGCACGGACGTGGGGTGGGAGGGACGGACGTTGCTGAGGAGGACCGAGAAGCCAAGGGTGAGGATGGCTGAGGCCATTGGGAGTTTGTGTCATTTCCCTAGTCCCTATACTATTGGCCAAGTTTGGGGCCAGCTGACATTGCCCTGGGGGGTCTTAAACTGTATTTGTTGTGATTTTGGTGTCTGGAGCCCGTTTTCAGAGGAGGAGGGGCACCAAAGTGATCTCTGACCCCGGGGCTGGCCAGGCTGTGCCCTCTCTGCCGCTGGACCTCTGGTTTCCAAACTTGTGTCTTGTGGTGTCGATCAGCTGCCAGGCCACGGTCTGTGATCTTTAAGCTGGTCTGCTGAGCCACGTTTAGCCTAGTGTTGTTAAGTTAAAAAAAACAAAACAAAACAAAACAAAAAACAAACCCAAAAAACCATCATTTCGAGAACACGTGGTGCCCTAGGAAAGCGTGGGAGTTGGCGGTGGGTCGCTGGGGCCGCTCTGAGGAGCTCGTTGAGTTGGTTTCCTTGTCCTGGTGGTGGCTGGTAGACAGGAACGGCTGCGACCGGCTCTGCTCTGGAGATTGCCATGAAGGATGTGAGAGAGGGGGGCAGACGGGGCTCGTGAGAGCCGAGTCCTTAAAGCCTCGAGACCCTCCTGAAATGTCCCAGAAGCTTTGATGAGCTTTTGGATGGGTTGGGGTGCTGCCGCATGGTAGCATCTGCAGCCCCGTGTCTAGCTAAGCTGTGAAGCAAAAGCCTTTTGTGCACATAAACCAAAAAAAAAAAGAAGCTTTTACACTGAAACACTAACGGGCAAAGCGAGCCCACCCTTCTGGACACAGGGACGGGAAAGCGAAAGCCCACCCCCTTTTCTGGCAGTCGTTTCTGGGTGTGGGGACGGGGGGCAGTGCTCGGGTCCCTGGCATTTCTGTGTCTTGGGTTCTTTCCCGTGTTATAATGAATTATTCCCGCATGAAACACCCTGCAATCAGCAGCGCGTCCCGTCTGCTGGGGGGATGCTGGGACGGATCTGGACCTGCAGCGCTCCCGCGCTGGGTCAGCCTCGGGGGGATTTTCCCAAGAGGGGCAGAGACCTGTGCTCTCCCTTCCCGGGGGGGGGTCCAGGGCCTCTCCAAACCTGCGGCCAGCGTCAGGGCTCGGTCATCCCTGTCCCCTCGGCGGCGTGGCTGTCCCCGGGTCCGGGGGGCGGGGTCGGGGTGGGGGCTGCCGGTGACGGCAGGGGCTCCAAGCCGGCGGCACGGGGCTGCGTGTGCCGAGGGCGCAGCCATGCACAGCCTTGCATCGGAGGCCAAGCGCCGTTTGCAGTATTGGGAGAGCCGGGGTGGAAACGCCGTGCCCAGATCCGTTCCTGCTCCACCGCTGACTCGCAGGGCGGCCTTTGGCGAGCCCGTGCGCCTCCCGTCCCTCCCTGAACGAGGGGACCACACTTACCTACCTCGCCTGGGGCAGCCGCGGGGTTTAACTCGTGTGTGCAGAGTGCTTTGGGATCCTGAGGGCACGAGAGGGGAAATGCTTTGCCGCGCGCTGTGCCGGTCCTCGCGGGAAACCCTGACACCAACCGCCCCTCCGAAGGGCAGCGCTTCGGGACTGGTCTTACTCTGATTTCTGAAACGCAAAGTTCAGTTTGATTCTCCCCTTTCTCAAAGGATCCAGGTCTCTTACCAGAATAATTAAGCAGAAGAAAGAAAAAGAGTTGAATTGCTGTCTAACCTTTTTGTTAAGTTAATAGTAGGTACTGACCTCCTGATATTTAAGTGTTTACTATCTATTTGCTGTAAAGTTTTGTATATTTTGTAAACTTTCCCCCCAAATAGTAGATGTCTAAAATCGTTGTACATCGGGTTCTTTTATACTCCATTGTTCAGCACAAAGTGTGGTTTTTATTTAGAATAATAAAATGGAAAACGTTGACCTCTTGTACCTCGCTTCTTTCTTTTATAAAACTTGTTTCTTTAAATGTGCAGATCGGCACTTCTGTCTCTTCAGGAGTGCCTGGGAAAGCACGTGAGCCGTTCCTGGTGTCCTGCTCCTGTGCTGTGCTCTGCAGGATCTGTGGCAGCGGTCCAGGCAGCCGAGGCCACCGCCTCCGCCGGCACCCGGAGCAGCACCAGCAGAAGGGACTCCGGCGTTTCTGCGGGCTGCTTCCGCAGCAGGATGGGAGCAGAGCCCTCGTTAGAAACCGTTTAGGAAATTCTCCGGGTTTGTGTTTCTTGATGAGCCCTTTCTGTGCCACCAGCGCTGAGTTTCGCTGAGCCCTGCACCTCCGCAGGCTCGGAGCTGTTGGCTGGCAAGCTGGAGCGGCGGGCAAACGCTGCTGGGCTTTCAAGAGCCGCTTTAGCTTTCCTCCAGCAGCGAGGCTCACTCGGTGGGACAGGACCAGTTTCCTGCCCTGGTGACCAGCAGTGGGCACTGGAAATTCAAGCTGGGAGGGTGGCCCAGGGGTATTGAGCCAGTAATTGCTAAAGTAATTGCTAAAGTAATTGCTAAAGTAATTGCCGTGGCCGGGCCAGTTTACCCTGAAGGGTGGCGAAGGCTTTATGGCAAGACTGAGGGACCTGGCTAAAGGACTCGCGGGGTTTCAAGCCCACATCGCGGCGTGGGGCTGTGTGAGGGTGTCATGGTCTAATGCCACCTGGCAACTAAACACCATGCAGCCGCTCGTCCCACCATCACGGTGGGCCAAACCCAGCATGTTTGGGTTTATCTGAGGCCGCTCCGGCCCTGAGATCTATGAACGAAGTTGTAGATACATAGGAGCGTTAAAAAAAAAAAAAGTTTAATGAGTCAAATACCAAATTTTACATGTTTAAGTAACTTGAAAATGAATATATTTTTGTTCTGGTTATGTCACACATCGGTGTCTTGTTGTTGTGTACTTCTCTTCAGTTTCTTCATTGCAAATGGCAGGGCTATAGCAAAAGGAGGCCTTAGGGAAGGGTCAGGATCAAAGCTGTGGGTCGTGTCGGCGTGAAGCTGCCATCACGTTCACCGGCCGGTTTTGGGGCTTCACAGGGACGGGGGTGGTGAGGTCCTGAGTCCGTGCGGACCCCAAAGGACAGACTCTGCCCCAGAGGGGTTACAGTCTGGGTGGCTCTACAGTCTCAAGTTGTGAAACCGTGTTAGTACAGTAACTCAGGAAGAACGGCCGTGAGTTGCTTCCCTGAAGAGGGTACTGTTGTGGCTGAGAGGACTGGCTTCTTCCCCAGCTGCAGTTCAAATATTTCTGCGCGAGAGGCGGATTTGGCTTTTTCTGTCAACGCTGATGTCCCCAAATAGTAAAACTCTGTGCACGAGGAGCCCTGAAGTATTTAGTGATTTACCCTGTCCCAGAACCCCGGTGAGCAGCAGAGCCAGTGCCAAGATAACCGAGCGTCCGTGTTAACCCCTGGTCCTGGGCTTCTCCCGCAGCCCGGCACATCCTGCTCCCCACCCACCGCTCCGTGCCGCGAGCATCCTGTCCCTACATTTGCTTATGCTTTGCTTTTTTAAAAATGTGTTTCTTGAGCAGCTCAAGGCCTCTGGTAGATTTATGGACTCCCTTCCAGGGACTGTCACTCTTTCACCTTCCCCTGCCGAGGGCTTGACCCGCAGCGCGTGACTTAGCAGAATCCGGACAATGATGAACTTTCTCCGGATGCTCCGGCTCCTTGTGCTGCCAAAGCCCAGCCGGCGCTGCGGCTCCGAGGGTTCTGCACGCGTACGTGTGTGCCCATGGAGTGCGCTTCAGTGCGACTTTGACTGAAAGGGAGCGGGTGGGAAGGGCTGCCGGAGTCTCCCGGCATTTGGAAACGCACCCAGGGGCCTTCGAAACCTGCCGGGAGATGCTCCGAAGGCGGCTGGGTTTAACGGGATGGGTCTCCTGCTGCAAAACCCAAACTGGGAACCCCACCGCTGCAGTCACCGGTCACGTTTGGAAGCAGCCATGCCCAGTCAAACCCAGGTTCAACCATCGCTAATTTACCGCTGTGTTTGCAAAATTGCTCTCGATGAGCTGCTGATCTCGAATCATTCGTCCTCTCAGTAAAGCTCAGGGCTGTGTCATGCTCAGCCCCTCACGGTCGCACTGCCTTCACTTCTGTAAAATCAGGCTTTGCGCCGTTTGCCGGGCACGGGGAAGAGAGGTTTGTGTTTCAAAGGAATTAATTTCCTCTCTCCTGCTCGGGACGGCACCGCGGCAGAGGGGCAGCCTTCACCGGACACCTCTGCAGCACGGTGTATCCGGAACACGCGAGTAAGTGAAAGTGGAGGGCTGTAGAGAAACTTGTGGTGAAGGGAAAGGAGCGAGGGCCCCCGGCGTGGCGGCGCGGGGGGGTACGGGGGTTGGGTCCCAGGGGCCAGATTTATGTTCAGACTTCCGAGCAGGCAGAGTAACGCACTTTATTACTGCAAGTGTTTCTTTCAGAAAACAGGAAATATCTCTTTCTCGTATTCTTTCTTTAGCTAAATAGATCTGATACAGCAGCACATCAGAGGAAAGATGTCTGTAGCTCCCCGCACCGTCTCATTTCACGTTTGGCAGCCTGCCCTGCCTCCAGAGCACAGGAGGTGGCCAGCCAAGAAGTGTTGTTTAAAAGCAAAGTGTCTGCTTATCACCAGGAAAAACAATCTTACTGACCTCAGTGAGTGCCGGGAGCTGCCCCCCACCCCGCAACCGCTTGCCAGTGATGAGTGGGAGAGTCTGTTCCCCCTTAATTGGGAGGGTTGTTGTCCTTTGTGATGACTATGGAGTGCTGCGTGGTGGAGGAGGAATTGCCTGCACCTTTCTGGCTGCCTTGGTCTTTGGGGATGTACTTAACCACAGCAGAGATGAGCTTGCTGCGGAAGTTTTTGCTCAGGAAGTTGTAGAGGATTGGGTTAATCACGCAGTGGAGCAGGGTGAAGCAGTCTATGATGTCGTAGAAGAAGTAGAGGAAGTGGGCGAAGGAGCAGTGGAGGATGATGTGGTTGCCATCGAGGGTGAGCAGCGTGAGCATGATGTGGAAGGGCAGCCAGCTGACGAGGAACACGACGATATAGGCGTAGATGAGCAGACAGTGCTTCCTGCTCTCCGGCTTGGTGCGCTTGATGAACCTGGCTGTCAGGATGTTGAAAACAGTGATGATGGGGAAGGGGATGAGGAACCCAATGGTGGTGGTGGCCAGGCTGACTGCCAGCGCCCACTCATCATAGGTCTCGAAGGGGGCCATAAAGATGCAGATGGGCTCTCCAGTGTTGACCAGCTGCATGTGAGCAACCTCCAGGAATGGGATCGCCGCTGCCAAGACCCAACTGGAGGCACAGATGATGCGGCGTGCACGGTGCTGGTGCTTGCGCCAGAAGAGGGAGGAGCTGGTCAGGGACACATAGCGATCCACGCTCAGGCAGGTGAGGAAGAAGATGCTGGCATACATGTTGGCAAAGTAGAAGTAGTGCGTGAAGCGGCAGAGGAAGCTGCCCCAGAGCCAGGTGTAATCCAGCATCACTTCCAGCATCCAGATGGGCAGCGAGAGCAGCACTCCGAGGTCGGCAATGGCCATGTTGATAATGTAGAGGTTGACCAAGCTCTTGTTGCCCCGTGTCTGCCAGTTGACCCAGATGACGAGGAGGTTCTCCACCAAGCCCACCACGAAGATGACCAGGTAAAGGATGAAGAGGACCACCCGCTTGACGTTCTCATCGAGGCTGAACTCGCAGAAGGTGTAGGTGTAGTTCAGGAGGTGGAACAGCTCAGACCAGTTGTGGTAGTCCCCGTACTCGTTCAGGAGAGTGTGCGTCTCAGTGGGGGCAGTGGTCACCTCAGCCATCCTGGTAGCTGCAAGGAAAGGGAAAGCGCTGAGCTGTGGCTCAGTGGCTGCGCTGGGGCTGACAGCCTGGAAATACAGCGAGACAGCCGATCTCGCCTGCCGGAGCTCAGCCCTCGTACTTTCGTACCTTTCTGGGGTTTTTTTAATAGTCTTTACTCCTATGGTGACTTCCTACATCAAGCCTCAAAAGATGCCATACCCACATCAGGCAATAACCTCATGTCCCAAACAAAATGGAAGCCACAAACAGCAACCCCCCATGCGCTCTCCCAGGTGGTGGCTGTCCCCTGTCCCACAGCCTGCTGGGCCGGGGCTGGGGACAGGTTTTGCTGGGGACGGATGGAGGAGAGGGACGGAGGAGAGGTGAGAGCGTCCAGCGACATCGGTCACAGCAGAAATGGAGCTGATGACCCGAGAGTGCAGCGACCTTCGGACCCCCCCTCTGCTGTGCTGTCCCCCACCACCTCTGGAGCTCAAGTCCTGCGGCCACGGAGCCTGTGGGAATCATGGCCCTGGCATCCAGCAACCAGCCATGACACAGCCGGAACGCCGGCACTGTTCAATGCACTGAGGCCCACATTTACTTGGCTTCGCACCAGCGGGAAGACCCCGTGTCCTCTGACCCCCCCCTTGGCGTGCGGTGGCTTCATGAATCTGGCCGGCCACCCCCGCTCTGCGCCTCTGGGGCCCGATAGGACTTCCAAGTAGGTGACAAAATTACAAGCTTAAGGGAAATGCAGTTGACCTGAACATCCTTTTATTGCCCCAAATGCGAGAGCTGCGGCCCCAACGCAGCTGCATCCGTGCGGCAGAGACACCGTGGGCACTGTCCAACCTC